GTAATGATGGACATTTACTTGAATAATGACTACTTGTTAATGACCAAAAGTCCTACATTGGAAAATAAAAACATATGGTCCTATATTGGGAAAGTCATTATGTTTTAGTTCTATTTAGATAAATTTCTTAAGGATACTAAAGTTTAATTTGTGTGGCTAATAAAAATCCAATTCAATTATGATAGCTCCATTATAAATGTAGACCCTCTCTTATAAAGGTTCAAAAAAATATGACAAATGAGTTAAAGGAGGGGAAAGTGGAAAGCAATTCAAACATAGAGGGACATTGGGAATTATTGTGTAAACCATAATATTTTTTTGTGGTGCGCCGTATATATATTCAAAGAAGGGACCGTGTCACTTTTAATTCCATGATTTTGTTCAAATTGACATATTGAGGGGGATTGTGCACATATACATTCAATTGCTACATTCTATTCACAGAATGCAGCCGCCTAAAGGAAACACATTGGTCCCTACTATAATATGAACTTAATTATCATATGACGATGCTCCAATACATTTAATCATAACCAACTAATTAATCTTAAGCTTCTAACCATAGTCATGCATGTATGTTACCTAGGTTGCTTGTATTCCTACCAACTAATCATGATTTAGTTTCATCTTCTTCTTTTAATTTTTGATTTCTAATATTAATGTTTTATCATTTAAATTAATTAGGTAGCTAGGCTTTTTGGTTGTTGCGTTGATTTCTTGATTAGTTACTCCTTCCGTCTCAATGTGTTTGTAGAGTATTTCTTTTCGAGTCGTCTCAATATCAACCATGTTACGTTTTTGGTGTGTCCAGGTTCTACGCATCGGAGGTGATCGTCGCCCTGGAGTACGTACACATGATGGGCATCGTCTATCGTGACCTGAAGCCTGAAAATGTGCTCGTCCGATCCGATGGCCACATCATGCTCACGGACTTTGACCTCTCCTTGAAATGCGACACCTCCACGTCGACTCCGGCCCAAGTCATCCCAAGCGGCAGGAACACGCCCGCCTCTCAAAACGAGCACGGCTACACCATCAACCCGCCAAAGTTCACCGCGACCTCGTGCATCCTCCCAAGCTGCATGGTCCCCGCGGTCTCTTGCTTCACCCCAAAACGAAAGCGAAAGAAGAAGACCCGCGGGGGAGGGCAGCACGGGGGGCCAGAATTCGTGGCCGAGCCCGTAGACGTGAGGTCAATGTCGTTCGTCGGGACCCACGAGTACCTGGCACCCGAGATTGTGTCGGGGGAAGGGCACGGGAGCCCGGTGGATTGGTGGACCCTAGGGATATTCATCTTCGAGCTGTTGTACGGGGTGACACCGTTCAGGGGGATGGACAACGAGATGACACTGGCCAACATCGTTGCCCGGGCGCTCGAGTTTCCCAAAGAACCCGTCATCCCGGCAACAGCGAAGGACTTGATATCGCAACTTCTGGTGAAAGATCCGGCGAGACGGATGGGGTCCACGATGGGGGCAACGGCAATAAAACACCACCCCTTCTTCCAAGGCGTAAACTGGGCTCTCCTACGTTGTACGCCTCCTCCGTTCGTCCCTCCGCCCTTCTCCCGAGATGTTCTGTCCGATGAAAGCTGTCCCGACACCCCCGTGGAGTATTACTAATAATTAAATTATTATTTGTGTAAGAATTGAAGATTAGTGCATGCATGTGAATAGAATTAAGATCATTTTATTATTAGTAATTTGATTAAATTACTAATATATCCTCTCTCTGTCACCCTCTCCGGCTTATTATGTATGTGTAGTTCACTCCTTATGAATCAAATAATAAATATTTATTTCTTTTCAAATTAAATTTTCGAGTTTAATACTTAATATTGCTTAAATGTGTATTTAGTATAGTTTGTCTCATGATTGTCTAGACATGCATGGAAACAATTGGGTTTAATTTGAGTGTGATTTATGAGATAAACTCTTCAAATGAAAAACGCGACTTATAAAATCGTATTCTAAAGATGGTACTGTAAATGCAAAAGGGCTATTAATTCATAACACTTTGCACATAAATTAACATGAGAGTCTCTGAAAATTAAATTAAACTCATAATTTCTGATCACCAATAGTCCAATATATAATGAGTTTCAATCAAATGAAACTGATCGAAAAAGTTGATATGGCATAACAAATTGATGTGTTAATTAATTACTAATGTTTCAAATAAGTACAAAGGGATAGGGGCAAATAAAAGAGTATATTCACGATTGACATGGGGAGATTTCTTTGGCGGCATGCATGCAATTATATAAGCAGATAGAGGACATATATATGTGTGTGTGTGTGTGTGTATGTATGTATGCAGTTTCAATGTTTGATTAATCTTGTAAAACGAGTAATTAATTAAGAAGTAAGAAGAGATGGAATTGGAATGTGAAAGTCAATGAAGGTGTGGGAGACATGGGATAGTGACAACGTGCGTGTAGACATTTGGGGCGTCGGCGACGACGATGATGTAACGGTGTAAGCCTTGGTGGGGCCGGCCTGGTTAATTTACGTTGGTCATCACCAAGCCCAAAAATATATTGCTGTTTCTCCTTCATTTCCTTTTTTTCTCTCCCCTTCATTTCCTTGTTGTCCAATAATTCTTGCCTTTTCCCACATGATTTGTCCCCCCTTTTCCTTTCTCTTCATGCATAAATTTATTTTAATTGATTTGAAATGGATTTGTAATTATATTGTTTGTAAATACAAGTCCCAAATTAGAGAGTACTCTCTATAATTTAAAAGAATTTAACTCCGATCCTCCGTAAATAAAACTAAAACATAAATTTTGTAACAAATTAAGATTTTTTTTATCACAAAAAAGTGTGCTTAGCTTGTCACGAACATATGTTTATTATTTCCATTCCAATAGACTTTATCAGAGATAATTATATTGTCACCACGGATTTCGTCCGTCCCTAAATTGGCATTACGGGCGTTTTGTGGTCATGACAAAAAGGCCTTGACAACGTGTTGTAATGGCGTTGGTTGTGACAACTAAATTAACGTCTAACTAAACTAATGTCTTTCGTGTTATCACGACAATGACCGTGGCAACATTTTAAATTTTTATGATATTACAACTTAAATTTTTGTTTCCATAGAAATGTTTGTCACGAAAAGCGTCTGTCAAATGAGTGTTGGAATGTATTAATTAAGGTAGTTAGGTCAAGTTATGTAGCTATTAAAACTAGCATGTTTATGCGTAGTAAAATCATATCTCGCCTGCATGTTAGGGAACATGTTAGACTATATGACCTTTCCTGGCATATAACAATAAATTTAAACTACTTTTGAATGGATTTTTTTTTGAATTTGAGCTTTTGAATGTTTTATAAAAAATTGTCTTATCGATGGGTGGATTACTCGATGAACTAGTTTGAGAGTCATAGATGGAGCTTGTAAATTCAGAACTTGATTTATGGCTTGATTTTGAATCAGTCTACAGGACCTGAAAACGTTCTGAATTGTCGAGAGGTTATTGTTGTAGTTTTGAGAAGGAACCCAAGGAGGAAATTAGGATTTGGGTCCACGCGTCATATCCAATTATTGAAAAAACGGTGTCTTGACCTTTCTCACTTTATCCACAAGATCCACTTTTTTATCCTCGTAAGTTTTTATAAGTTGTTCCTTCTCAATTTCAAATCAATGCGCCAGCGACCTGCTTCTCATCTCTTTTATCTAACGCCCTGAGATATTATGCCCTCCACCGATCACTGATGAATTTGATACCGATATTACATTGCATATATGCACTTGATCTCATCACAAAAACACTAGTTGTTCACCACCCTAGCAGCCTCCACATACATACACAACATCTTCATTTTTTGAGTCAATAGAGACTGAAGACCACTCTCTTGACTCTTTTGGTGAACCACTCTATTCAAGTACTCAACCGGTTCATCAAAATACTTATTCTTTTATTTTTTTTCTCTTCCACCAAAACATTTCATTTCCTATAAAAAAATCCACTTTTACCCTTACTTTTTCTTACCCTACCTATCACATCATACTTTTCGCTAATAATCTATCCATTACATCATACTTTTACCTATCACATCAAGAGTATAATTTAACCATTTTTTATTTTGGCCTTTGGTCAAATTAGAAAGTATTTTTCTGAATGGAGAGAGTAAATAAATAAACAAATGAAATTTTACCTGGGTTTAGTCATAAGCTCACACACAATGTACCAAAGTATTAATGGTTTATTATGTTTTAAAAAAATTAAAAAATTGATCATGCTTTTTTGCGTACTCCAGCACTAAAACAACCTTCATGATTTTTCTTTACCTTACCCTTCTCAATTTTTTTCTCTTTTCACTTTTTGTAGTATACTCATTGAAGTCCTAGTACTCTGTCAATATTTTCCAATGTTCCTTTGAAACACAACTTTGTTTCGGTCAACTTATCCGACGAACTGCCAAGGTACGGTTCGGTCAAGTCGATGCTCAAGTGTTAAAGGCACTTCAGGCACACTTCACGTGTTTTTTTCCCACCAATGGCGATGCTTAAACAAAGCCCGTCTTCTATCACGAACCTCCTCTTTCGTTTCCGCCTAAGAAATGTTGTGAACTCCCATCAGATCGTGTTCGTTGATCTCCTCGGTTAACTTTATATAGATGGACCTCGCCAACCTTTGGTTTCCTTGATAGAGACTATTTAGAGCCTACACCAACCTCTCTAACATTAACAAATACTCCGTAACATAATGTCTTACTTCGTAATATAATAGATGAACCTCGCCAAACTTTGTAATATTAACAAATAAAACATATCGCACGTATTAGTTGTTCTTTTAATAGTTTATTCATCTTAGCTATTATATCGAACATCTAATATATTTAGACGTTATTTTATTTAATTTTTTAATAATTGTGTAGAAGTTCTTACTTAAGCGACCTAAGCTGGCCCAAACACACGAGTATCCTTCGGGCCGGGTTTGAACTTCAATTATTAAGCCCGTTATAGAGATGGATCTGGCCAAGTCCAAGCTTAGAAAATTTTCAGCTAGACTTCCCAATATTGATCAGGGATTGAGGGGGGGAGAGGGAAGACGGTATATATCTAGCAAATTTAAAACCGTTTAATCTCGTACTCAGAAGAACAATTCTGTAGCTTTGGCTTAACTGAAAAACCCTAGGTCAATGGAGGAAGCAGCTAACGGAAGTGAGCCTTCGGCATTGACGGAGAAGACGACGGAGGTGGAGATAGACGATGGTCCGGTCATAGGTCCAGGGCCAGCTCCTCGTGCTCGGCCTAAGCGGCCTCTTCAATTCGAGCAGGCATATCTTGATTCTCTCCCTTCTGCAAACATGTAAGGGTCACAATCATAGAATTGTGTGTATGGAGAATAGTTTAGGGTTTCTAAAGGTTTCTTAAAAACCATGCTAATTCTTAATTTAAATAGCTGAAAGACAGTTGCTTGGAGTTTGCCTCTTTTTTTGGAAATTCTGGTCATGCTACAATTACTGTGGGAGAAAAGAGGTCAAATTTGTAGCTATTTATTGAGAACAGCGAACATGTGAACCAGTGGCGGAGCCAGGATCCAACAATAGTGGGTGCGAAATAGAGAAAGATATCTATGTCTAGCGATTACAGGAGACAGGAGACATTTAAATAAATATAAATCTCACAAGCATTCTGTCGAACATATGGTGTACAATAACATATATTAATAGAAATAAATACTCCGTAAATAAAAGGCATACTTCACAAATGTCAGCAAGAATTTGTCAGAGAGGGAAGCCCATCACACTAAAATGGAGCAGTGTTGCAGGATTGTAGAGTTCTTCTTCTTCATCATCTTCTTTTCTTGCTCTTCTTATTTGAAATGGAGTATTTTATAGTATTAAAAAACCAAGCTGGGAGTGACTGCAATTGCAGTCATTTGCTCCCACTTGGCTCCGCCCCTGATGTGAACTCTATTTCTCTTATATTGCATTAGAACAGAACATCGTGTATGGATGGAGTATTTGACAGTTAAAGTCTTAACAGAAATTATGACAATGGACTACGGAGTATATTTTGTCTCCTTGTAGACTGTCGGCGTTCTCGATTAGGATCTTTCTCCAGTGTCCAAACAAGCAGCACCTATCACATTCTAAGACATTGCTCGGGCCTAGTGGCTTCATTAACTGTGTGAAGAAGGTTTTATACCACTATTTTTGACAAACTTATGTTCAGTGTTAAGTTGCCACAATATTCTTGTCTTGAAATTTCCCCGTTGAACTATATATTGGCTTTCATTTTATATCCTTCCATATTTTGGCTCACTGAACAATACCCAACAAAAATCATATGTTGTAGGGGGATACTATTTGTGAGTTACTACTTACTAGAAAGACTATGTATATCAAGGTTTCATTAACTTTGCAAGTGATAGAGTGCCACATATGTTGTTAATCATGTTATGTTATTAATTATCATAATAGAGTCAGTTGGGGTCATTCGTTTATGAGGTCAAATTTTTTATTTTATATATGTTAGTTACTTAGTAAATAATGTGTAAGCGGGCATAAATTGTAGGAGTAGTTGCAAAGTAATGTGGTAGTGAGCCTAAAGTTTAGGAGTACTTACTAGGTAATGTGGTAGTGGGCCTAAATTCTAGGGATTGGTAGTTATTTGGCTTCTATAAATATTGAGGCCGATTATTTGTAAAAGCTATCCGGAAAGTAATTCAATATTTGTTATTGGAGATTCTCCTTGGCTTTATTACTTATATGAGTTTAAGATTCTTGCTCATATTTTGACAAAGAGTTTCATTCATCTTTATTACCTTATGGAGTTAGATCTTGATTTCATAATCTTATAAAGACTTTCCTTTATTTATTTCCCTGCCACTCTTGAGTTCTATCATTTGGTATTAGAGCCATAAGATCTTTATGGGTTCCTTCTGCAGAAATTCAGTTTCTCCATTTTCTCAATACAATTCTGCATCCAACAGTTATACTCCTTATGAAGTACACCAATTGCTTTACATTGTAGCTCACCGTGATGTCATTAATTCCAAACGGGCAGCATCAGAAGTTCATGGTACGACTGTTAATCTTGTGACACCCTATAAAAGAATCACATCTCGTAACTTCCATCTAGAGGTGAAGGGAACGAAAATTCAAAAACAGAAGGGCAGGGCTACATTTGTTCGTAAGCCCAAACATCCTACCATTGCAGCCAACCGCTTCAATAACTCCCATCCAACATGTAACTTTCTACGTGATGACAAGGGAGTTTCAATTGCAACTCTAAGTCAGCGCCTCACAGTGAATGCAATCGTGTTGTCTTCACAGTGCCCCTCCATGATCCTGACTAGAACATCTTTCACGGATGGCAATTGGCAACAACAATTTGAGTCGAGGCTGTTCCAATATGAAGGTACGATTCATATTGGTTGCCACTATCAAATCTCTCCATTCTCACCTACAAAATTGGCTAGTGAAGGAGCCATGATTCTTTTGCCAAGTGCTGTTGAGAATGCCTCCAGTTTGGGGTTACAAAACTCTTCTATACGTGTCAACACCATCTTGGGAAATTCTGCAGCATCACCGATAAAGCTCCATGAACTCTTGGATAGTGGCATCATGCATCTATTTACCCTTGAAGTTGGTATGTCATATTTGGACCCTTTTGTTCGAAGCCCCACTGCTTTCATCGTAGTTTTTCATGATATTGTCTTACCACCTCTGCCGAAACCTCCAGATATACAGAGAAGCTGTCCAGATTTTGCCTTGAAGACAAGGCAAATTTTGAAGGAGGGAATAATGATAGAGTGCCACATATGCTGTTAATCCTGTTATGTTATTAATAATTATAATAGAGTCAGTTAGGGTCATTTGTTAATGAGGTCAAATGTTTTATTTTATATATGTTAGTTACTTAGTAAATAATGTGTAAGTGGGCCTAAATTCTAGGAGTAGTTGCTAAGTAATGTGGTAGTCAGGCTAAAGTTTAGGAGTACTTACTAGGTAATGTGGTAGCGGGGCTAAATTCTAGGGATTGGTAGTTATTTGGCTTCTATAAATATTGAGGTTGATTATTTGCAAAAGCTTTCCAAAAAGTAATTCAATATTTATTATTGGAGATTCTCCTTGGCTTTATTACTTATATGAGTTTAAGATTCTTGCTCATATCTTGATAAAGAGTTTCATTCATCTTTATTACTTTATGGAGTTAGATCCTGATTTTATAATCTGATAAAGACTTTTCTTTATTTATTTTCCTGCCACTCTTGAGTTCTATCAGCAAGTTTATATTTCATCCTAGAAATTTCATTAGGGTATCCTGATATCTAAGGGGGATCTTTCAATTTTATAATCATCGGTTAATCCGGTTATGTAGTTCTTGATGTCATAATATCTGTGACTTTTTAATCACACTCAATACTCTGCAGGTATGAGAAAAGCTACATGCACCGAGATGTGGTCACACATGTTGCTGTGTCCTCAGCAGATTTTTTTGTCAGTGGGAGTGCTGATGGTAATACCAAATTCAAGTACTAATGTAGTACCTTTTAGCAAAGACTGCTTGCCTCGATATTAAGTATTATTTGAGCCAATTAAAATAATATGATTTGGGGACACTGTTGAACTTTGTACTCTATCCATTTCATCTTGTGAGAAATGGTGCAATATATTTTTATTTGGTTCAGAGGGATTAATTTGTCTTTGGGGTTCGTTTTTGTAATTTATTCTCTTCAGGCCACTTAAAGTTCTGGAAGAAAAAGCCTGCTGGTGTTGAGTTTGCAAAACACTTTAGGTCTCATCTTGGTCCAATTGAAGGCCTTGCTGTAAGTTTCTCCATTTGTGTGTGTGTGTGTGCGTGTGTGTTTGAAATCTTGGGTGGTACGTCGTACACTTTTGTGACGCACTAGAGGCATTGGTTGTGACATGTGACACGATCTCTTCATATAACATTCTCTTTTGAGTTATTGGGTTTGTAGATGATTGAATTTGTTCAGTTTATGCTACTGTTTTACAGCTTATGGTTTTAATGCCTTCTAAGTCACCCCCGAACTGCCGTCCAACCAAAATAAAATAGAATGAAAAGGAAAAAAATAATAATAAACGTTTTAACTTGCCTGTTGATGTTCTTAATTTGAAGTTCAATCTAACTTCTTCATAATTGTTTTGGCTTTATTTGTCTGTTTTGAAACAAAATTAGTTGGTATATTATCAATTGACACATATTACTGTTAAGAGTGCCTAACAGGCTATCACCTTGGCTTGTTATTTCAAATAGGTAAGCATTGATGGACTGCTTTGTTGTACAATATCCAATGACCGAGCTGTAAAGATATACGATGTAGTCAACTATGACATGATGGCCATGATACACCTTTCATTTGTACCTAGTTCTGTTGAATGGGTTTACAAACAAGGGGATGCTAAAGCAAAGTTAGCCGTTAGTGATTGTAATTCCTCTTTTGTGCACATATATGATGCACGAGCTGGTTCCAATGAACCTATCCAATCTAAAGAGGTACTTCATTACATATTAGATGCCAAATTTTGTGCTATTATTTCGAGTACTATCATATCACTATGAAAACATGGTTTAAGTTTTTTATTTACTATTTCTGCTCAGATACACTTGGCCCCAGTTAAAGTAATGAAGTACAATCACATCTTTGATACTGTGATATCAGCTGATGACAAGGGAATCATTGAATACTGGAGCCCTACTACACTTCAATTTCCTGAAGACGTGTATGTGTGTTGAAATAATGTTTTTTGTCTGCTTGAGTGACTGTAGTAAAATCTCTGAATCGTTCATTAATCTTCAACAACTCTATATTTAAGTTTCCTTTATTTTCTCTTTTGGTGTATGTGTGTGTGTGAGAGAGAGAAAGAGAGAGAGAGAGAGAGAGAGAGAGAATCGTTTAAACCAACCAAATTTCTTAATTTTCCTGAGGAAGACATTAAGATAAATCTTCAATAGTTAACATATACAGAGTATTTAGAACAGTTATTCAAATGTAATATGGAGTGTTGCTTTTTTGTTGTTTAATCTTCTGTGTGCAACAACAACCCAGTTCAATCCCACATTCCCATGAAAGTAGGGTCTGGGGAGGGTGTGTGTATGCAGACCTTATCCCTACTAAAGTAGAGAACATCTTTCGCGTGCATTATAGATTAATATGTTTGGTTGAAGGCAGAATAGGAGGTGGCATGGAATTTGATACTTACCCTACCTCTTGTGGAAATCTTACGTCCTGAATATTGAAAGATGTGCAAATGCTTTCTGTTCTACTCCTATTTCTCCTTACCCACATCTTGTCTAAACTACGTTGCTAAGCTATATTATGCGTCCTTTTTATCTTTATTTCCTAAACATTGTGTAATAACATGCTAATATGATTGATTAGTTGTTTGTTTGTGCCTTTTATTTAAAAGATTTGTTCGAACTATTGAAGTGGTTTTTAGTTCCTCATTGCCCATGTCTATGAAGTTATCTGTTTTCCTTATGGAAGCTATTTGCCACTTTGTACAGCGTGAGCTTCAAATTAAGAAGTGATACCAATCTTTTCGAATTTGTGAAGTGCAAGACTACCATATCTTCCATTGAGGTAACTAACAAACCTATCCTTGTACATACTCCAGTTGATCCTATTTAGTAATCTCTTTGGCAATTATATGCAGCACTAATAACTTTATCACTGGCCATTTAGGAAATACATATGAAACCTATACATATTCCCTTCTATGAATTTAATAGTAGTGCATTGGGAAAAATGAAAATATAATTAGAGCATGTATTATTAATTGTGATGTGAGCTCATAAATAAGTGTTCTTTTGAAAAGACTATATAAGTTGGAATTACCACAACAGTACAACATCAACAAGCCCAGTGCAGTGACTGTAGTAGTGTAGTCCTACAAGAGGGTTATGGGGTGGGTAACATGTATGCAGACATTGCCTTCACCTGTGAAGTCCAACAACTATTTTGGTTGAAATTGATTTAAGATTTTCATATAACCTTCTTAGTGTGTGATCAGATACGAGGGACATAGACTTAAGATAGGAGAGAATAAAATTTTGTGTTTGTGTTTATTCGCTGGTCCCCTTGTTTGTCGAAACTTGGTATTAGTAATGTGGCAGTTACATTTGAAATAGCATTGAAGTTAAATGTATTTGCATCAGTAAAAGCTCTGTAATTCTTAATTGGTTTGGTTTGGAAAACTCATCACTTCTCCTAATGGCAGAGTTACTCTCATACAATGCTTAAACATCTTTTTTGATTTTCAGGTTAGCTCAGATGGTAAGCAATTTTCTATTACTTCTCCTGATCGTAGAATCCGTGTGTTTTGGTTCAAAACTGGTAAATTAAGGCGTGTTTATGATGAATCTCTTGAGGTAAAATCACCCACTTAATAACTTCATTCTATAATTGTATCAGTTATTATAAATCTATGACCAAATATATTGCGTCTTCTAGGTGGCTCAAGATCTACAAAGAAGTGATGTACCTTTGTACCGACTGGATGCTATTGATTTTGGAAGAAGAATGGCCATAGAAAGAGAAATTGAGAAAACTGAAAATGTGCCACAACCCAATGCTATTTTTGATGAAAGTTCAAATTTTATTATTTATGCAACACTCCTAGGGATCAAAGTAAGATGCATATATGGTGAATTAAGTGTACAATGTTTATCAATGAGATTCATTCGTCTAGCCTATATGAACCTCATCATTATCTTCAAACTGTGTCAGATTGTGAACCTGCATACCAACAAGGTTGCTCGAATTCTTGGCAAGGTGGAGAGCAATGATAGATTTTTAAGAATTGCCTTGTATCAAGGTGATAGAAGTAACAAAAAATTCCGAAAGCTTCCTACAGCAGCAAATGCTAATGAAAGCAAGGAGCCTCTGATGGATCCTACTCTCATCTGCTGCGCTTTCAAGAAACATAGGATTTATTTGTTCAGGTATTATAATATTCTTGATGCGGCTAAGGAGAATAATGAGATGTTTATTCATTTGTGACATATAGTTCTAAAAACAATTTCATGCAAATATAGTCGGAGAGAACCTGAAGAACCCGATGATGTAAATAAAGGAAGAGACGTGTTCAATGAAAAACCTCCTCCTGAGGAACTTTTGGCTGTATCAGAAACTGGAAAGACAGTCACAACTTCTCTTCCAGATAATGTGGTATTTAGACGTTCTTTCTTTCCATCAGTTTTTGTTTTGTTTTTTGCGTGAGGATCTCTACAAGAAGTATTGATCATCATCTTTAACACCTTAATCCCAAGTACGTAGGGGTCAGTGGCATGAGAATTATAATTATGAGTTGGGATAGTTGGTATAGTTATGTCTGATTGCATGCACATCATGGAACATGACTGAAAGAGAAGTATTGATATTGAGCTAAAATTGAGCTAAATAAGCACAACTTGCATATACCTTAGTGGGGTACCATTCCGTGTGTCTCTATCAATTATTTGAGCACTGAAATACTGAATGACTAATGAATTACATGCTAGCTTATCAGCTTGTCAGCACATAGCTCAACCAAAATCAAAGGGTAAGTGCTTTCTGCTGCGGGAAGAAGACTCTTTATAATTAGTTAAGGGGCTGTTTGTTTCAGCCTGTTTCCATCATCTCCGATGGAGCCAAAATTTCACCTTTTTTTGGCTTTGGGGTGTGATGGAATAAATCAAAATGGATCTCTAAACTGTCTGCGCTTCTTTAATTAATGAAGTAGCAGTTAGTCAAGCAATGCAACTTTCGACGTTGAGCCGGGGGTCTCTTTGGAAACAGCCTCTCTACTTTCAAGTAGGGGCAAGGTCTGCGTACACACACCCTCCCCAGACCCTACTCTTGTGGGATTTAACTGGGTTGTTGTTGTTGTTGTTGCTGTTTGTTTCAGCCTCTTAATGGTTCAGATGTCTGAATTAGCACTTAATGGTTCAGACTGTTTCAGCCTCTTAATGGTTCAGATGTCTGAATGGTTCAGACATTTGCCTCTGAATGGTTAAGTATTATACAGAGTCTGAATGGTTAAGACCTCTTATCTGAATTGATCAGACATTTGCCTCTGAATAGTTAAGCAATATACTACTCCCTCCGTCCCAAAAAGTCTTTCCCGTTTCATTTTTGCGCATCCCATAAAACATTTCTACCGACATCTAAAATGCCTAAAATTTACAACATTTCTTCTTTATTGTGGGCAGAAGTTATTTTGAAAGTTTTTTTGGCATTCAAGGTGGGATAGAAGTGTTTTATGGGATGCGCAAAAAATGAAACAGGAAAGACTTTTTGGGACGGAGGGAGTAGCTCTTAATGGTTCAGACCTCTTACTGGTTCAGCACTTAATGGTTCAGACCTCTTACTGGCTCAACACTTACCTATTCAGAAGTTGCCAAACAGCCTCTAAGTGTATCTGAGTTCTCTGAGCAACTTTTTATTATAGATCTGTGCATCTTATATTCTTATAACATCCTCTAAGGCGTGTCTGTTTAGTTCTCAGTTCATTATGCCTTGCAGTTACTGGTTGCCTTTTTTGCCTGATCTGATAAAGTTTTAGTATATAAATAAATAATATCTCTGTTCTTTTTGTGCTTTATTTCCTTTTGTTGGATGTTAGATCTTGCACACTACGATGGGTGACATTCATATGAACCTATACCCCGAAGAGTGTCCGAAGACGGTGCAGAACTTTACAACACACTGCAGGAATGGGTATTATGACAATCTGATATTTCATCGGGTTATCAGAAACTTTATGATACAGACAGGAGATCCACTAGGAGATGGCACTGGTGGGCAGTCAATTTGGGGTAGGGAGTTTGAAGATGAGCTTCATAAAAGGTGAGTCTTCAGGATTAATGGCTAGAATTTGAGCTTCAATTTAGAGTTTGTTTGGTAAGATTTTTAATGGCTAGAATTGCTGAATTTCTGGATGAAGTGGTTGAATTGGCTGATTAAATTTCACAAATTACTTCTGGAATATATAAATATATAATTTATGAAAAGGTAGGAATATAAATTTCAGCCAAAAAGTAACTCCTGCACTACTTTTAATGACTAGTCGGTTCAGCCAGCGTAGGAAATAAACTAGTTTTTTATTTTAAAAACTAGCCGATGAGCCAAAAATGAATCCTACCAAACAGGTTCATAGTCCGTCACTCACTCTCTCTCTCTCATCTTTGTTTTCCAGCAGAATCTAATTTAAATTTGTGCAAAACTGTTTTGGTGCATACAGTTTGAGACATGACAGGCCATTCACAGTATCAATGGCTAATGCTGGACCAAACACCAATGGCTCTCAATTTTTCATCACCACCATTGCCACCCCATGGCTGGACAATAAGCACACTGTTTTTGGCAGAGTTGTGAAAGGAATGGATGTTGTTCAGGTGAAAATACTGGCCAATCTCTCATGCCAAAAAATTGAGAGGAGCCTGCATAAAGTTTTTCTATGAAGGATGTCCCTTGTTGAGTTTTCACTTTAACATATCTTTCTAACGATGCATTTATTGCAGGCAATAGAGAAAGTGAAGGTGGACAAAAATGACAAGCCATATCAAGACGTTAAGATATTAAATGTGACCGTCCCCAAGTCCTAAAAGTAGTTTTGAACGACATGTGTTTTTTGGGGGTGTGACATTTTGTTTATCTCCTCCCCATATCCTAGACCTAGTTGTCCTTGCAGAAGTGGGCACGGTGCACTTGCACGGGTACCGAGTAATACGCTACAACCTGGTAATGCCTCTTCTGCCATTTGATCCTCATCTCGAGTTCACACCACCACCACCACCAGTGTTTGCTACCGATTTTTTTTAAAATAAATTTTGTTGTTTGAAGTTGAACTTACAGTTTTACCACCACATTTTCAAAAAATTTATCTTTTTTTAATCTGTAGATGATAATGTGCACTATCATATTCATATCATTTTTCACCTAAAGAGCATACTTTATGTAATGATGATTTGTTGTGTTTTGTTGCAGTACTATGTAACAAAGACTCGCCTGTGCATGATTTGTGACGAAGCTGGGAGCTCGGAAGCAGGCTAACATGATCCAAATTAAGTGTGTACTATTATTTTTATTTTTTGTCTTATGTTTTTGAACGAATTTCAATTACACTTTCATTTTCATAAATTTTGTGTACAAAGTGAAACTGGTAAACTACATATGCACCAATGGAGCAAGTGTTTTTTTTCTTTTTTCCTGTAAAGTGTAAACTGGTAGCGTTAAGGCTTGAAAAGATAAAAATGTTCTTTTAATGAAAATTTAATCCCTTACCACAAAAGAACTACTTATTTCTTAGGGAAAAAAGACTAAACTAGAAGTAAAATATTAAAAATATATTAAAATAGGAGTTTATTGTTTTTATTTTCAAAATATGAGTTAAAAATTAATGTGAAATGTCTATATACAGTGCCATCAATCTCTTCTTTTGGGGATAAAAATAGAGTTTTTATTTTAGTATTTTTCTATGTTTTACTCTTATTTTAGGAGATTCTTAGAAAATAGCAAAGGCATTCCTTTTGGAAATTTTTAGTAGTTTTTACGTTTTGGTGTCGAATGGAGCTAAGCTACGCCTTATCATTGGCCAAAAACAAGAATTGTGAATATCATTCATCCGACCCTTGTGAATTTTCCAAAATATCTTTACCCAAAATTGTCATCTTTATTTAAATGTTCAGGAGTGAATCTTACAATTTTCGAAAAGTTCAGGGGTATTTGGTGCAATTTTTATTGTTCAGGGGTAAACCGTGCAATTTCTGAAGAATTCAGGGATATTTGGTGCACTTTTTAATGTTCGGGGGTAAACCATGCAATTTTCAAAGAATTCGGGGGTAAACGGTGCACTTAACTCGTAAAAAAATACTCAATCGAACAGTAGACGTATGCCTGCCATTTATTAAATGCACTTAAAAACTCAATCCACAAATCTTCTACGTGCTTGAAAAGTAATGGTGAAAAAATAATCATTTAAATGACAACTCACCAGACAACAACAACAACCCAGTTGAGTCTCACTACAGTAGGGTCTGGGGGAGGGTGTGTGTACGCAGATCTTTCCCCTACTCGAAAGTAGGGAGGTTGTTTCCAAGAGACCCTCGGCTCAACCTGCACAAAGTATACTATTTCAAAATAATAACCGCACGTCTTAGAGATCTAGTAAACTTAGAGTAAGACAACACCTTAGAAAAGTTCTTCCAAATATAAAATTTGAAGCCCATCCTAATACTACCAGTAAGACACTCTGGAGTAATCACAAGTAGTACTACTTTCTAATCGTGAGTTTCTCTCATTTGGTAAAGCAGCCTTTCTGAGTCCATTATTGACGTGAATTTCTCTCAGCAGTGTGGACCTAACCATCTTCACCTTGTTTCCGGCCTCAATCTTCCTCTTGGAAAGGGCTTCCCTTCCATTTTTGGTGGATCAAACGGTACGGAACCACACAGATCAAACGATCGAAAAGTTTAGAAATTACCTCACCCGCAAGGCGGCAGCAATGATTTCAGTTATGGATTCAAAGCTTCAAACTCAAAGCTGTTGGTGATTTTAGTGTCATCAATTTATTTTTGTGTAATTGGTTTTGCTTTGATCGGACAAGAATTTAAATAGATGTTGTCAAACGAGTTAGGAGGCGGGAGTGCGTGCTCGTTCAACGATATTATAAATTCACTGCGGGGTCCGGGGGCGGCAGCCCCGGGTAGCGGGGTCCAAGGGGCGGCAGCCCCTGGCGGGGTCCAAGGGGCATAGCCCCTGGCCGTTTTGGAAATTTTTTATTTCGGACGTTGTTTCTTTAAGAAAATCCTTAAGATTTTCGTGATCGGAATCCAAAACGGTAAAGGAGTCTTACATAATGGATAAACGTCGAAATTAAGCCTTCAACCGCAGGAGGCCTTTCGTTCAAACTCGCACCTTCCTTCTTCTTGCGCGAACGTACGCGTACATCTACGCGAACGTTCATGTCCGATCACAAGGATTTTCGACTCTATAAAATAGAGTCTCGTGGTATGGGTTGAGCAACAGATTCTCGAGTGCTTGTTCTGAATTAACGTCTTATCCGATTGAAGTATTTCGTATACCCCGAAATAACTTTGATCTGAAAGCGTTTCGTACGCGATTCGTTATTTTATCGAGTTCTTCGTTCAACACTGCTTCGCAGTGTTCTTCCTTTTCTAAATCCAACAAAAACTTAATTAAGGAGAGAGATGGGAGTGCGCAAACGCCTTGAATAGTAAATATGAAGGCTTTAAAGAAACTGAGGGAGTATTATACTCCTTCCATTCAAAAATATTTTATAATTTACGCAAAATGAAACAAAATGGTATCTCTATCATAATTTTTGTTTAGGGACTAGATAGCTCTGTTAGCTTATTCCCGGATAATACGAGTATTATACACCCGAACGTACAATACGCGTATTATACTCTTGAATACGAATGTTTCAAGTAACAAACGTATAATACACATGTATTTTTTACCCTAAACGTATTTACGAATTTTATACGTATTAAATCGTAAAAATCTTCTTCTTTAGACTCCAATAATTAAAATTTAGAAGGTCAATTTTTTATCAAATCAATTTACTTGATTGTCTTCTTTCCAAAAATACAAATCTTCAAAATTTTTCGACTTAACAATCGTAAAAGTATTAGAATAAGAATGCAGTTCAAGTCATTTACCACCGTTTTTGTTAATTAAATATCATTTATGGTCTACCAATCTTTTTGTCTCCATCTGGTTGGGAGTCCAACACTCCTACTGCTCTAACAAATTTAGGCAACAACCTTATATCTAATTTTAAGATTTTTTAAATGTTACCAATTTTTGTGTATTTAGTTTTTATGATTAAATATTTATCGACGTTTAAAAATATAAATTTGATTTAATTTGTGTGATCTAAACTCTAAAAATATAAGTTCGTAATTATATTTTTCATTCTAAAAATGAAAAATATAAAGTTGATTTCATTTTACTCAATTTTAAATTGTGTAAAAGATTTTTTAATGAGTTTATATTTATATTAAAAAGACACTTGAATCTTCATTTAATATTCGTGATGAGCAGTTAATCAATTTCGTAAATCTCAAATTGTCTAATAATATACGAACACTATGAAAAAACCATGAATTGCTATGGAAAAATTCTGACACAAAAGAGGATTTTTCTTAGCAGATTGAAAAACTGCGACGAATTTGCTGTGGTAAATATCCGTCGCTGATGTTTTCGTCGCTATTTTTCAATTTGCGACGTCAAACAGCGGCAGTTGTTAAAACTGCGGCAGAGAAATGACTTTTTAGTTACGTGTTTGAGCAAATGCTCCATTCGTATCTAAATGTTAGTTTCATTTTTAACGTGTACTTATATTTTGTGGAAGTACATAATAATAGTTTATTGAAAGATATCTTTTGGATACACATGGAAAAAATGAATACACTAAAAAATTGTACTCCAGTATTTCTTGATTTTTTAAAATTTTTATGGTGTATTTGTATTCAATTTCAATGTTAAAACTGTTTTTCTTATTACAAATATTTGTACAAATTATAAGATGTATTTTTTAAAAATCAAACGTATGAAAGACAAACATATCCGTATACATACCATGAACGTATAAAGTGTATATTAAGACATATTTTTAAAATGTAACCCATATTAGATAGAAAAAAAATGTACTCCAGAATTATTTCATCTTGGATTGATAATTATCTTTAGTTGAAATAAAGTAATCCCAAAGATGTCCCCTTAATTTTTAGATTACTTACATCTAAACATATATTCTCCATGGAAGTTTTCTCAATACAACTCTGGGCTTCATATTCACACTCCAGACTCCACCTTACAATACAAAAGCATCAATGTATCAAACTGGTTGGCAAATATGTTGCAGCCAGAGAGCACACTTTCTGAATTACTATATAGTAATACTTTATTTCTATGCACGTCTGTATTCGTCTCCACAGTCCCCTATTGCATTTTGAAGATCTTTACCCTTCTTTGTAATGTCACGGATACGATCCATGTCTTCTTGATCAAGGGCAAGAGAGAACACATTGTTTGAATCCTTGATATGTTCCGACAGCCCGAGCCTAATACCTATCATTGCTCCAGCCACACACGGCTGCACGCAAAAACCAAGAAAAAAGGCATCATTGAAGACGTTCCATATTTTAAATGAGGAGAAAAAAAGGAAAAAACCTGATCGAGAACGTATTTCGCAGCAACTGTTGGAATGGAGACGCCGTGTTTGTTAGCTACTTTTTTGAGTGCTTGAAGGAGCTCTTGGAAGAGACTCCACCCTCCCCAAACGTCGACCATCTGCAACATTGTTCATTTTTTATCTCTCCAAAAGCAAAGAATTTCAATCAAGTCTTCGTATAACATGCAAGAAATGAGGATTTTCTTGTGCCACTACATGCCTGACTGCATGACTATGGAACCTATTTTTGTCATTGTGCACAATTTTGAGCCCCAATTTGAAATGAGTTATTTCATGCTAGGTTCCATTTTCAAAATATTATTATATCCCTTCGTAGACTTACTTAACCAATAATGTATGGATGAAAGGATCGTTTCACAAAGGGTGGGTAATTTGTGGTAGCCTTCTTTGTTGAGTGATTGGGGGGGGCGGGGGGGGGGGCAATTCAAATCTCAATAGTTAAATAAATTGTTCTTCAAAAATGATTAAATGACTGTTACATAATTGCCTATCAAGTAACTCCCTTAATCTTATGAAATCCCAAGTATACATCAAGATTTGCCCTCCAAATCCTTTAAACACTCCATCCAAACTGACCCTGAACTAATGTTTTGTTGACAGTTACCTCAAAATTTCATACCAATAGAAAGTTTAACTTCCTAAGCAGGTTTTTCAAGATATATTTGTTTATAAACATATATACCCTTTTGTACTTCTGTAATGAGGGAGTGTTTAAAGGAGGACCAGAAAAAGGTATCATTAAGTTTGTATCAAGAAATTTCTCAGATAACAATCCTCCCATTACTGTTCCGTACCTGCACCATAGAAAGCTAAATCTGTGTGAGGAAAAAAGAAGTGGATTATATAATAACTGCAGCTTAAGGTTGATTATCACAACTCAAAAGTCAGAGCAAAACAGGCGAAACAACAACTACATTACCCCAGTGCCTCAACGGCTCCCGCCCATTATGGGGTAAGGGGGGTCGGATGTACGCAGCCTGACCCTATGTTAATAACATAGAGCGGCTGTTTCCCGATGACCCATGATGAGCGTCGAAAGTTGCATTCACTAACTGCTACTTCATAATTGCAAGAAGCGCAGACAGTTTAAAACAAACGAAACAAACAATTTGAGACCCCCCCCCCCTTCCTTCCCAAATCTTCATCTTTTTACTCCCTCCGTCCCACTATTTTTGTGTTGTTCCATTATTTTTGTCCCTTACCATATTTATTAATGTCTATGTTACTCACATTAGTTCCTACTTTTTCTAACTTTTTTCATTACAATATCAACCACGCAATTCTACGTTTCTGGATTTATGTGTGACTATCCTATGTCCCGAAAATAGTGAGATGGAAGAAGTATAAAGGAGAAGACTTACCATTAGAGCAAGAAAATGCTATGAGCTCATTCGGAAAAGGGAAAATTTGGTCAAAATATATAGATATGTTGAATGTGTTCAGATTGAGGCTAAAATGCCTCGATGAGCTAAATTATCTAAACATGTATATAGATCATTATATATATTTTCTCCATCCCAAAATAAAGTTTACATTTTCCTTTTTGGAAGGAACCAAAATAAAGTTTAAAATTTTTTATTTTCATATAAAGGAAATGAGTATGTGGCTCACTAAATATCTCTTTCTTCTAATCAAATTTCTAGCACACTCTTTACTTTTAACACTTTTCTTAAGTTTCGTGAAGTCAATTTTGTAAACTTCACTTTGGAACGGAGGGAGTAATATACGAATATATATAAAACAAGGCAAATACATCTTAATGTGTTGGGGTTTGGGGGTCAAGATCTACCCAATGTTATCCCTCTTAAAACAGAGACTATTTGTGTTAGACCCTAGATACATTGCTGCATTTACTATCCAAAAATCCATAAAAAACAAGCAAGAGAACTTTAATGTGTCATTTTGATTGAGTCTATTATGTGCCCGAAACTAAAACATTGTCAATAACAACTCTTGTGAAGGATCAAGCTGCGCAGTCAGCTTACACTTCTAACCACTTAGTGCCACCTGTCATTTCTAACTAATTTCCCTTGTTTTTTGGACTCTGTTTGATTAGCTATGGTAGTTTATATAGCTAGTTTCTTCCTCCCCGTTAGGGCAGATTTTCAGAGACACATTTGAGCTTCAGTTTAATGGAATTTTCCTGCGTTTGTTTTACAATTTCATCTTCTCCAATGAAATTTAACATGGTATCAGAGCCTATCTTCAATGGCGTCTAGATTTCCGATTCTTCTAATGGCTTGAAATCATATTCTGTTCTTCTACAATTGTTCGAGATATTCATGGCGACAGAGAATTCTTCCTCGCATATCCCAATCGACATACAAAGTGAATTGTATCTGCATCCCACTGATTCACCAAATTTTTCGCTGGCATCACAGAAATTGAACGGCGAAAACTTTCCGCAATGGAAAAGATCTGCTGAAATTGCGTTGAGAGCCAGAAACAAGTTAGGTTTTGTTGATGGAAGCTCGAAATCACCAGATGTCTCTTCGAATCCTGGATTCTACACTCTGTTGAATCTGGAATTGCGAATAGTGTGTTATACTGTGAATCTGCCAAGGAAATATGGGAGGATCTTGATGATCGCTTTGGTCAAAGCAATGCACCAAAGCTATTTCAGCTGCACAAGGAAATAGTGACTCTGGTTCAAGGTTCTGATTCTGTCTCTAAATATTTCACCAAACTGAAAGGACTTTGGGACACATACTTAACGATGATAGTTCTACCACATTGCAAGTGTGAAGGAGCTGGAAATTACACTAAACTGCTTCAGAATCAACAATTAATGCAATTTCTAATGGGACTTAATGATAGCTTCAAAACTGGTAGAGGTAATATTATTATGATGAAGCCCCTTCCTACTTTGAGCCAAGCATACAAACTGATTGCTCAAGAAGAAACTCAAAGGGATTGCAGCAGCTCTAGTCCATTGAGCAGTGAGTCCAGTGCTTTGGCTTCCTTGAATCATGTTTCTGTTGGCTCTAACAAACCTGTGTTTGGAATTACTCCTAGTGGAAGGAAGTCCAAATACTTCTGTC